CACAACGGAGCCCGTGTCCGTCAAACCTTCCTCGCAAGCCCTGGCAGTTCCGGGGTTACTCTGCAGCCAGCCGCAGAAGATACAAGCAGCAGATCGATGCCGCCTGAAGAAGGAGCTTGAGTCCATGTATTCGTCGGCCGTGATCACGCCGGCAACAATGCCAGCATTAAGCTTGCTTCAAACCATTCATCTGCAGGTGGAATCCAAGAACTGGGAGTGGCTCCCCTGGAAGCGGCTGCTCTCCGAAGATGCTCTGCTCGAGATGAAAGGACGGCGGTCGCAAGCCTCCGGCAACGAGCTGCAGCTTGTGCAAGCCTTGGAGTGTGCCGCCGGGGTGTACCGCGAGGAATGGGACCTTGACCTTGGTCCGTCGGCAATGCGCGTGCAGCACCTCCTGGAGACCCGGTCACACGCTTATGTTATGTGTGGTGCTGGCCACCTCGGTCATTGGAACGTCTATGTGAAGAAGTTTATGGGTTACTATTGCAAACGCCCTTCCGATGGGTTTCGGCCACCCTCGGTTCAAGAGGCTGAAGCAGCAGACCGTGTGGCAATGGAGGAAGCGTTCGGGTTGTGTTTTGGTGGTCATGATTTGAATGATGCGTTGAATCATGTTTCGATGGATCGTGACTTGTTGCGCCATTTGCTTGTGGAGAAGCCCAAAGTGTCCTCGAGGCCGCCGCTTAAGCGCCCAGCGCCTTTCCCGGGAGGCAAGACGCGCCCAGACAAGCCGGACAAGGACAAGCGGCCGCGCAATGGTGAGTGCTGGGGCTGGCGTGAAGGACGTTGCACCAATTCATCCTGCAAGTTCAAGCATGAGTGCGCGAAGTGCGGGTCCAAGAATCACCACTCTGGCGAGTGCGACCAGGGCAAGCGTGTGCAGTGATCAGAGGATGTGGTTACAGATCTAGCTGGTGATGGTGCAGCTGTGTCGTCAGAGCAAAGCCAATCGCTGATAGGAGCTTCGCCGTCGCCAGAACCTGCTGCTGTGGCAGGGAATCCCGCTGTCTGTGCCGAGTCTGCTA